TAAAATTGTAATTAAATAAATAATTAAATCCTATTTATAGATCAAACTTAAATGCTTTCATAATTTTTTCATTTATTTTTAACTATTTCTAAAATTAATAATCCTGCACAGTTTTCCCTTTGCAGAGTTAAAATGAATTAGAATTGTGAAGTCTACTCTGCCAAACAAATAATGCTGCTTTACAGTGTGTGAAAATTTGATCAAAAAAATAAGAATGTACTTTTTTATGTTATAGTATTGTTAAAGTGAAATCACTGAAAGTGAATCACCGAAAATAAAAGTTGCTTTACAACCGCGTGAGCAGCTTTTATTAGTGTTAATGAAATTACGACTTGGGCTGCTAAATGAAGATTTAGCCTGCTGCTTTCATATACGGGTTGGAACTGTTAGTACAGTTTTTCACTTATGGATAGACGTTTTGTCTGTCAATTTGAGGAAATTGATTATATGGCCACCAGGAAAGATCTGCTTGAAGAATTTGCCCCAGTCCTTCAAAGATGTTTCTCTTGAAAATGTGAGGTGCATTATTGACTGTAGTGAAATTTCTATAGAGAAACCTCATAATTTTACAGCAAGAGCACAAACATATTCCTACTATAAGCATCATAATATTTTGAAATTTCTAGTGGGTTTAACTCCATCTGGAATAATTTGTTTTATTTCTAGAGCATGGGGTGGAAGAGTGTCAGATAGACACTTAACCCTAAGCAGTGGGTTTTTGGGTAGACGGAAAAAAGGTCCCGGAAAAAAAGGTCCCGGAAAAAAAGGTCCCTGGAAAAAAAGGTACGGAAAAAAGGGTCCCTGGAAAAAAAGGTCCCGGAGCAAAAGGTCCCGGTAAAAAAGGTACCTTCACTCTTTCAGATAGCTCTCAGATGTCAGACACGGAAGTAGGACAGGAAGTGTGTGATACCCAGGAAAGCAATCTAAACGATTCCTAACAATTTGATAAGGGGTTATTTAATTGGACCCATGAGTCCATCTATAAAAACCACAAAAAGAAATTTACGAACCCCTCTTATCGAAAAAAAACAAGTGTGGACAAATATTGCAAATGATATGGGGGAGGAAGGTTATAGGTTGTCATAGTTGCAGCGTGACAACAAAATGAAGTCTCTTATGAAAGGATACAGGTCGGTGAAAGACTATAATAACATTTCAGGCAATGACCGCAAGACCTGTAGGTATTATGAGGAGCTAGAGGATCTCTTCTCTGATTCCCCAGCAATCCAGTCCGTATAATTTACAATACCAACAATCCATGAGGATGAGTGTAAAAGAAATGAAAGTCAGAAAAGAAAGAGGGAGCAGGATGGTGAACCATCTTGGTTCACATCTTACCGGGAAGATACAGAACGTAGACACAAGGAGAAAATGGTAAATTGCATAGCATTAAATTCGAATTAGATAATTTTCCAGTGCTGCGCTTGCGTAGTGCTGATGTGAAGCTAACCAGACTCCGAATCGGTCACACCCGGTTAACACACCTCTATCTACTGTTTGGAGAGCCTCCTCAATGCAGTACGTGTAATGTTCCTCTCACAGTTCATCATATTTTAATAATGTGTCCATGTTTTAATCAACTTCGCCTAAAGCTTTTTGGGAGTACTATTTTATGCTTGCAAGATTTGTTAGATGATACTCACCATCCTAACATTTTTAAGTGCCATTTACTGTGCATTAATAAATTTTCTAATTTATGTTGAATACCATAAAAAAATATTTACTAACTTTATTTGAACAATTATGTGATGTAAGCAATAAATTTATTTTGAACGCATTTTTCTCAATTTGCTAAATTTGTACATTTTTCTAGCTTAAAAATGTTCCTTGCGGGGTAATTTTTTAGCGAAGCCCTCCAAAATTTAATATGATATTTTGAAAACTATAATAAACATATTACAGGATTTTTTAAGTTTTATTTTTATTTTAAGTCAAAAAAATTTTCATCGTTGCTAAAAAAATCCCAAAATTTACAAAATATTTGAAAATAATTAATAATATTTTTTTTTTAAATTAAATTATTTTTAGATTTAAAAAATAATCCTTACAAAACATTCTAATTTAGCATACAACATTTTTTTGCTAAAATTATCAAAATATATTGTAAATTGTCCCGCAAGGAACATTTTGAAAATTTTTTAATTTTTTCAAAAAATGAATTTTATTTGAATTTTTTCAGTTTTTTTTTAAATTTACTGTTAATAAGGTAAGAACCCTAATATTTTAACAAAATTTCATAGCTGATTCACAGGAAATTAAAAAAAAAGTTTATAAAGTCCACCGTCCCCTTAAGTTTTATACTGGGTTAAACAATGTTGCAGTTTTAAAGGCACTTTTAACTTTAATTTTATTTGTGAGGCAACCGAAAATAAAAGTTGCTTTACAACCGCGTGAGCAGCTTTTATTAGTGTTAATGAAATTACGACTTGGGCTGCTAAATGAAGATTTAGCCTGCTGCTTTCATATACGGATTGGAACTGTTAGTACAGTTTTTCACTTATGGATAGACGTTTTGTCTGTCAATTTGAAGAAATTGATTCTATGGCCATCACGAAAGATCTGCTTGAAG